GTTCTGAAAGGTGGGGATTACTTGTGCAACATGTCCCTATGTGCTGCCAAAGCGGAGATCGCGTGGGCGGGCGTTGACAATCATGGAATTGGAACGATCCGCGTACAGGCCTGGCAGAAATGATTGGAATCAGCCCTAGCAGCCCTAAGGCACATGGATCCCACCCCAGGCCCAAACCCAGTGGACTGTCGTTAATTGTGCTGTTTAGGGTTTTATTGGAGTGGTAGGCAGTGGTAGGTCCAGAGGAGTCGAGGAGTCCTTGCCGCTTAAATTTACGAAGGGTCCGAAGGGTGAGTTCTCCCGAACATCTATCCTTTTACTCATCGATGGCAGGTGACAGGGAACAAGATCATTGCAATGGCATCAACAGCCGACTGCTTTCGCTTCTTCCGTACAACGTGCTTGGTGACCGCTAGATCCAACTTGCGCGATTTGGCGGGATCCGACCTTCCGGATGCAGTACGAACTTTGGCACACAGAGTGTTTTTGAAAGTATACCGTGAACCGTGCGTGCACTGCAGCGCACGCTTGTTTCCTAAACCCTAAACCCTAAACCCTAAACCCTAAACCCTAAACCCTAAACCCTAAACCCTAAACCCTAAACCTGGGTGATGGTACCGCAGTGCGACTTGCCAGTTGACCCACTTAGGAATGCCAACACTCGTGTTCGGGTTCGTCAAGACGGGAGACATCTTCTATCAGCCACCAGGCTTCATAGCTGTGGAAAAGGTCCTCTCGGACAACAGCATCTCTCTCCGCATGAACAGCCTGATTTTTACAGAGGAGACCGCGCGAAGCTTCTTGATGGGCTTGGACCAGGCTTCGCAGCTACCAGTTTAGAAATGTTGTGTGATTGTGATTTTGCCTGTAGCTGGCAACCGTGCAGTAGCAGAGCGCTAACTGGCTGCTGGCTGGCATACCCAACTAAGTTATCCCAGAACGACGCTGCGGATGTGCTGCGTGACCTGCTTCCCGAGTTTCCGGACGAGACAGGACAGTTCTTGCCAGAGCTTGAGGATGCGACCGAGTCGGAGGACGACGGCGAAAGTGATCATGCCCCGCAGGCCTCGTTGTGTCTGTGCGTATAGGTGTGGGCGTATAGTGTGGGCCGCGTCTAGTGTGGCTGTCGGTCGTTGTGGGTGTGTGTGGGTGTGTGTGTGTGTGGGTGTGTGTGGGTGTGTGTGGGTGTGTGTGTGTGGGTGTGTGGGTGGGTGGGTGGGTGGGTGGGTGGGTGGGGGGTGGGTGGGTGGGTGGTTGTGGGTGGGGTGGTGTGTGTGGTGTGTGTGTGTGTGTGTGTGTGTTTGTGGTGTGTGTGTGTGTGTGTGTGTTGTGTGTGTGTGTGTGTGGTGTTGTGTGTGTGGTGTGTGTGTGTGTGTGTGTGTGTGTGTGTGTGTCTGTGTGTGTGTGTGTGCGTGTGTGGGTGGGTGTGGGTGTGGGTGTGGGTGTGGGTGTGTGTGTGTGTGGGTGTGTGTGTGTGTGGGTGCGTGTGGGTGCGTGTGCGTGCGTGCGTGCGTGCGTGGGTGTGTGTGTGTGTGTGTGTGTCTCGCCGGGATGGGTGTGAGTCGGTGTGAGTGTGAGTGTGAGTGTGAGTGTGAGTGTGAGTGTGAGTGTGAGTGTGAGTGTGAGTGTGAGTGTGAGTGTGAGTGTGAGTGTGAGTGTGAGTGTGAGTGTGGTGGGTCCCGCAACTCGTGAATGGGTTTGGCGTTGTGTTAGTTCTGGTTGCAGTGGGTCGTTTTTTGTATTCGTGCCTCAGGCGGCGGCGGTCAGTGTCAAGAATGAACTGCCAAGTGAGCCAAGTGGACTGCCGCCATTGCCACCATGTCCGGCGTCACCGGCGTCAGCAATGCCAGGGCCAGGCGGGCCAGGGTTGCAAGAGTTGGCTGCCAATGCCACTGATGCTGATGCTGATGCTGCAAGCGTACAGAAGGAGTCGGAGACGCCGCCGGGCACCGCCACCGACGCCATGCACCGAGAGAACGGTTCAGAGAACGAGTTGTCGAAGTTGTCGGCGCCAACGCCGGAATCACCGGAACTTCCTGCTGCACCGGCGACTGATGAAAGACAAGGGGGCGTGAAGGAGAATGAGTCGCCGCTGCTTGCCACAGCGGCACCGGCTGGTCAGGCTGCTGAGGCTGATCAGGCCCACGCTGCTGAGGCTGCTGAGCCTGGGCCTGCTGGGCCTGCTGGGGCTGCCGCTGCCGATGGGAACGGCTCATCGATTGCATCATTGTCTGCGTCAGCAACGGATGCCGGTACTGCTGGAGCTGCGAAGATTCCGAAGAGTCGTGAGGGTGATCAGGTTAGAGGCGCTGCTCCGAAGACAAGGGGCAACCCGACCTCAGCACACAAGAAGCGCAAGACAACAGAGTTGGATGAGGCAGCCAAAGGCTCGAAGTCTTTGAAGAACATGTTTGGATCGGTGGTGTAGACTGACTAGTGCCACACGCCGCTGCAATGCCACAGTCTTGATGCCGCCGCCTGAAGCCAGCTGGGGGCCGTGACAGAGTCTCGTTTCGCGACCTAGCTTTAGGGGTCTGAGATTGTAAGCCTGAGATTGTAAGCCTATAATAAGCCTTGTAACAAGCTGCTTAACTCTAGGGTTCTCATGGTGTAAACGTTGTTTTGTAACTTTTGTAAAGAGCCTTGCCTTGTAAGACATTGTAAGAGAGTGTAGTTTTCCCACTTAGCTTGAGGGTTCTCCGGGTCACTCCGGGTGTAAGCCTTGCTTTGTACGAGAGTCTAGTTTGCCCGCTTAGCTTGAGGGTTCACAGGGTGTAAGCCCTACCTTGCCTTGTGAGTCTTGTAAGAGAGTGTAGTTCACCGGTTGTCCGCCGGCGGCACACAGTGGTTCAAACGCTTGAAACACCCGAAACATTAGGGTTTAGGGTTTAGGGGTTTAGGGTTTAGGGTTAACAGCTGGGGCGCTCAGGCGCTGTCCGCAGCACTGCTTCATTGTACAGACACACATCCCAGCGAGTCAATGCACCCGCTTAGACTTAGCATGAGGGTTCTCAGGGTGTGAACCTTGTTTTGTAAGAGAGTAGGTTGCAGGTTCTCAGGGTGTAAGCCTTGCCTTGAGTGCCTTGTCTTGTAAGAGAGTTTAGTTTATCCGCTTAGTGTGAGGGTTCTCAGGGTGTGAGCCTTGTTTTGTAAGAGGGTCTAGTTTAGCCGCTTAGCTTTTGGGTTCTGAGGGTGTAAGCCTTGCCTTGTAGTGTCCCTCTTGCAAGAGAGTGTCATTTAGCTGCTTAGTTTGAGGGTTCTCATGGTGTAAGCCCTGTTTTGTAAGAGAGTCTAGTGTACCCGCTTAGCTTCAGGGTTCTCAGGGTGTAAGCCCTGCCTTGTCTGGTAAGAGAGTGTCGTTTACCTGCTTAGCTTCAGCGTTCTCAGGGTGTAATTAAGCCTTGCTTTGTTTTGTAGGAGAGTGTCGTTTACCATTTACCCTCTTGGCTTGAGGGTTCTCAGGGTGCAAGCCTTTTCTTGTAAGAGAGTCTAGTGTACCCGCTTAGCTTCTCACTTCTCAGGGTGTGTGATGCTGGATGCTTTTGCCGGTGGTGACGTGCCAGCTGCACTGTCACAGCTGGCACTTTGTGAGCCGATGCTGCCCGGCAATGCTGCAGTGGCAGCGTTAATCGAAACGGGGCAATCACGCGCAAGATGGTGGCGCCATGGCCAGCATGGCCGCTTAGTGGAAGAGGCAGCCAAAAGGCTCAAGCTGTTTGAGGAACGTGTTTCAGTTGTAATGTGACTAATGAGGTGAGAAGGGCATGCTTGCTGCCACAGTCTTGCTGCAGCCAGAGGTGGGCCGTGAGGAACTATAGGGCTCTCAGGATGCAGAGTGTCTAGTTTCACCGCGTACCTTTACGGTTTTCTGGGTGTAAGCCTTGTAAGTCGTGCGTTTGTTTTGTTTTGTTGATGACGACCTCACAGCTTCAAAGCTGGCACTTTTCTGAGCCGGCACTGCCAGTCACTGCCGGCCGGCAATGGCAACGTTTGAAAGGTGTGTCAGAGTTACAACGGGGGACGGGGGAAGCAAGCAAGCTCGAGGGGGTGGTGAGCATGGCATAGCCGCGTAGGGCAACGGGTAGGCAACAAGTGAATATGCTTCCACTAGACTGATCTGAAATCCACCTTCTTGGGCGAAGCAGCTGCAGATGCAATGACGTCGCCGGGGGACCCTGGCCACGGGGCATTCGCAAAGCAGGCCATTGGAAAAAAGATGCTTCTGCTGCTTCCAGATTTGTTGTCAATCAACACATTCACATGGAGTGGCACTGTTTCCGCGGCGCAGGGTTTTCTCAGTTTTCTCCCAAACGTGGTTTTTCCCTGCACGCAAAACAAAAGTTTGCTCAGCACGGACAGCACGGACAACCAGCCGGCCTTGCCTCAGCTTACCCGACACCCTATGCAGTGCTGGAGCTGCTATGTTCTGCTACCAGTTAATTTATGCCTTGGAAAAAAAACTGAAAACGGTGTTTCTCCCATCCATCTTCCGGAAGCACTCGCTCAAAACACTTCTGGGGTTTTGGTCCAAAAAACGAGGTCTCGAACACTTCTTTCAACCCTAAACCCAGCCGGCAAGAAACTTAACATTGCAAGGGGGGAGGTGACCTAGTAATCCCACGCAATCCCTTAAGGCTCCCTCAGGTTCCTCAATCCGCCACCCTGAGCTTTTAGTTATCGCAGTACTTATCTGAAACACTGTGGCTGCACGCCCTGGAGGACGGGATTGACGGATTCATTGACGGGCACAGCAACGTTTTCCAAAACCAGCAATGACTGCGCAACACAATTGCACGGGGACAAGGCGACAAGTTAAGACATGCGCTTCTGCGCTTCAATCTCCATGCCGTTTGCGACACGTGTCAGCGCGTTGTGTGGTATTGCCTGAACATGCCTGAACCGTCTAGCAGGATTCTGACCGATGTGAGCCACACATCTTGGTAGAACACCGTAGCGTCTACCTGCGTTTACATTGCGTTTACGCAGCCAATGCCCGGAACCTCCGAGCTGGCAGCTGCAGGCTGCCTGGCAAGGCATTTTCGCACCCAGGGCCCAAGGTCTCTAATACTGCCTCCAATAGGCCTCGGGGTAACTCTTCCTCACTCTAGCAGTTTCCAGCGTGCATGTCGACCCAGGAGAACGGCCCGTCTGAACGCCCTTCGTTCCGAGATTACTTACCATGACGAGGCTGGAGCCGAGTCTCCTCCGTGATATCTATCCCTAGAGGCAATCGTAGAATCATCCAGCTCCGCATTGGACAACTTGATGGTGGCTGCTGCTTTGCAGGATCAAACCATAAGCGAAGAGTGCCAGATCATCATGATGCGTTGCATTCCGAGGAGACTCCATTAGCCTCTTCATGATTAATGTGTTCATTCCGCGTCCTTGGTTGACATCTTTAGATTCAGCTTCCGGAAAGGAAAGGTAATCACCTGTACTCACCTTGTTTTGGCTCGCAAGCAGGGCATCGGAATCTTCGCTCAATTTGCCTCAATCTCTGACTAGAGTCGAGCTTGGCCTGGAATGTCGCTGTCGCCCTGTTTCTGAGGGCCCCTCCGAAAGGTGTCGCTCCAGGAACATCAAAGGCTTCTGTTCACACAACCTTTTGGGCGTGGGGAAAATCATGTTTTGCATGTGCCAAATCTCAAAGTGTCTAACTTATAACATCCAAAAACAACTGCAATAGCAACTTCTCCAGCGTTTGGTTGCGCAATGTTTATCTCACTCGATTCCTCACTTCTTCGGAATCTTACAACAGCAAATTAAAACAGCAAAAATAACCTGTGTCTTCTTGCAGTTCTCCAAAACAAGACAAAACTTGCTGGCGTGACTTGGAATGGTACAGTCCATCGGCCAAGCCCACACTAGACATGGCAATGCCAACCTGCTCAAGAAGCAGTTGCTGGAAGATTGGAAGACAGAGAAAGAGATTTCCGACCAGATGCGGGGATCTTGTGGAAAGATTTGTCTCCGTTTGGCTTGACTTCTGCACGAGCGTCCTCTTTGATTAGATCGGCTTCTGTGCACCTAGCATGCGACAGAAACGCCCCGTCGTTGTGCCCTTTGGCGGACCCTCTCAGACATCGCACGCCTTAGCCGACCTCTGCAGCACCACAAATCCTGTGCATGTGAGCTGTGCCTTCGTAGGTTCGCCGCTGCACCGACAGGGAGAGGACAAAAACAGTGTGAGCTCGAGTGGACCTGCCAGAGCAAGCACGTTGGTACCTATGGTAAGGAAGATCTTTGGATACTGAGGTCCGCAATCATCTAGAGTCTCTATAGTCTCTGTGCGTGTACTTGCGAATACTCCAAACCCACGCAGGTAAAATGAAGTCAAGTATTCAGTCAGTCGTATATGTTGTATAGAGCAAAGGCACGTGTTGAAGTTTGGTGGGAATTCATCCGAATTGTAGCAGCATGGGCAGCATGGCTGTGCAAATTGAAGAATGCGGCTAGGCTTAAGAAACTTGAAGCCTAGCATTTCAAGGATTCTCGGTTTTGCTAGGGTAAGATCAGCAGCAAAGGAAGGCAGAGGAGAGGTGAATCAAACTTACGGATCGTTAACTAAGGCACATCAAAGGTAATAAATACCAAGGCAAAACATGCAGACACAAAGCCAAGCGAAATTCAAAACGAAAACATGACACAAAAATGTTGCAGAAGTCAAAGGCCAGGCAAAGGCCAGCACACACCACAGGAGCCTCAGGTAGCCTTAGCATAGAACTGACAGAGTGCACCGAATCAACAGCGTTTCAAGTTTCAACTCTATCCTTGGCGCGAAGCGTCTCAAGGGGTCTGTGTCTGCGCAGGTGACAGACATGCCAGGCTTGTTGGCTCTTCAAGGTTTAGATTCTTAGAGTCTCAGGGACTACTGACTACTGACTAGTGCCTACAATCTTTGCAGAGAGAGCAGTGGCTACAATGTACACAGGAAAACAAGGCTGTCACAAGTCTGAGCTTGCTAACAGACAATCGTAGCTCTGGCAGCCTGGCACCTGCTGACTTGCTGGCCGAGCAACCTAGTACATCACAGCAACTGGCGACATCCGGGCCCAGGCATGCCCAGGCCATATCGAACCCTCCTAAGAAGACCTGACACACCTGATCACACCTGTCTGATTTGTTTCAGGGAGGCTCTGCGGCCTTTCAGGCCACGATTGCAGTGTGCTGTGCAGCACAGGATGCAAACCGGCAGAGTTTCTTCCTTTGAAAGCGCTGCATGCGAGCCTGGTACTAGCATACCGCGGGAGGAGGACATAATTACTCAACAGCTGCACCATGTCACCATGTTGGGATGAGCCGAGTGCGGGACTTATACCACTCAGACGTACCCGACTGAAGCTTGCGATATGCGAGTGAAACAGCGCTGCTCAGAAACTGCCTGTTTTGCGGACAACACACGCTTCCCACTGGCAAAAGACTGATTCAATGTCGGCCGGGAGAGGGAATCGCCCTCCTGCGTTGGAAGTCAGCATGTCATGGACCCAAGCTTGCATGATCTCAGATGTTGCAGGGCCATTTGCGTACTCTGGCTCCCTCCCGACTTGCAAGTCCTCAATAAAGTAGAGACCACCAGAGCGTAAAGCAGGCCAGAGGGTATCAAACGTCACCTTGATATGCTTGTTTCTGTGACTGCCGTCATCTATAATCACGTCAAAATTTCCACCGCTGGCCACCACCCATTCCTGCACTATGGTTGCATCTCCCTGGTCTCCTGTCAGAGTATTGATCCCCTCAAGGTGTCCAGCCCGAACTTCTGCTTTCAAGCATTTTTCCATCCACTCCGCCACCCAGATTTCGCTGCTGGGAAAGAGCTTTCTCCACATCTTTATACTTCCACTAGGACCCGTGGACATTCCACAGCCAAGGCCAATTTCGAGCATTTTGGCCTGCGGGTGAGCCTGCATGAATGGGAACAGAAAGGTGCCGTACATTACCTGATAGCGGTGGGTCGTCACTTTGTCGATGTCTTGTGGCATGCGTCGTGCTGCAGTGTCAAAAGAGCGAATCGTGTGAGCAACAAAGCTGCCGCTGCTGTCAACTTCATGATAGCAGACTTGCTTCCGGACCATGCATGCCTTTGGTTGACAGTAGACCGATTCTATGCCGCTTGGCAGGCCATTGCTGTCTCCAGGTACATGAATCAAGAGTTTCTCAATCCATCGCTCAATGTTTGTGGACATACCGGCATTGCCGTCGGCAATTTCCATGAAATACATTCCGCCGGGCCTCAGAACTGGCCACAGGCTATTAAACATGGTCTCCGTAGGAATATCCTGAGCGCTGTGGTCATGGATAATCACATGAAGATCACCCGGAATGGATTGCAGCCACGTCTGAAGTGTAGCTTGCTTGCTTTGATCTGCAGCCGCTCTCAGAAAGTGTGCGCTTTTCGGTGACTCCTTCACACAGGTAGCATCGAAGTTTGCCTCCCAAAGGCTTGCCATGGGAAACAGCTTCCTCCACAGTGCAATGCTGGCATCAGGACTGGTTCCGGGATTGCAGCCGGTGCCAACTGTGAGCAAGCTTGGGGCAGGGTGAGTTTGCATGAACGGCACCAAGAAGGTACCATACATGATGTGTAACCCGCGAGAAGACAATTTGGCCGCGGCCGTGAGTTGTTTCTCTGACTCCAAGATGGACTGAATGCTCGCCTGCCTTGGCAGCAGCCTTTCCCATGCCAGGGGTCCGGCCGGGCCACTTCCACTGGCACGAAGGGCTCCAAGGAACGATGGAGCTGTGCAGGCATGGTAGGCCTCAAAAGATGCACTCGCATTACCTGCAACTCTGTTCCAAATGCCGTAGAGAGCCACAATCGCAAGTGTGGCTAGCACCAGCCGCGGCCTCTGGCGGCAAGACACCCACCATGAGCGCATGCGAACACATTGCATGCATTCCATATGGGTCTACTGAAGGTATTGCCAATGTGTATGTTGTAGCTTCGACGGTGAACCAGTTTCCAACCATGCTGAATGTTGGACGGAGTCCAGTTTGACATGTTCCTTTTGTGGGTCGACCTGTCTTTAACACCCGAACAACACGAATGCTTGATTGAATCCAGCTTTCGGCAAAATGGCTGAATCGGCTATACTGAAGCTTCGACAACATAGCAATTCCGCTCACTCCAAAGGGCATCAAAGGCCACAGGTACAGTCGGGTATGGAGCTGTCAAACTTTTCAAGCGGAGATGATAACATGATGCAAAAGGTAAGCCTATGACGGAAACTTCCCAGTGCAAGCCTCGGCGGTGAAACATGCAGGACACGTCTATTTTGCAGAGGGAAAAGAAAAGTCCACATGCCCAGCTATTGCTGAAAATTGCCCTTGTCCTTTGCAGCAAAACAGTATACTACCTGGGCCATCATGTGCCATACCAGTGCAGGACCTCATATTGCATGCGGGGAGTCGTAAGATGTCCTAAGCACCTCAGCACTGTCCATCCAACCACAATGGACCTCGTCCCCGAAAAGCATGCAGCTGCTGCACTCCCCCTGGAACTCAAGTACTATAGCATATGAACTTCCTGCCTTTCCTACCAGACGTGCAGACTGCACAGGTTTAAGAAGCCCTTTCCCCACAGCTAACCCCTGCAGCTCGAGGGGGACTAAGCTTATGGAAAACAGCGGTTTGGCCCTGATTGGTTTCTGCCTCTCGTTCATCGCTGTGGCGGCACGGCGCTTTGCCACTTCGCCTTGCTGCAGAAGCTCATAAACTTCTTCCAGAGACCTCGGCAAAGTCAAAATAAGTGGCCGACATTCATGCGTGTCCATGCTCGGTGGTGTGCAACCTGTCACGTGGTTTGATGAGAAGTAGCTTTTGACGGGATGTTTCACTTGCTTCGCTGGGCCGGGTCGCGACTTGCAGGACAGGGCATCAGTTGTAGCTGAACCAAGCACGCACTTTCAAGGTCTTGATGTACATAAAGCCTTTGAGGACCAGCATCGAGTGATTTCCAGTATGGCCACAAGATCACTCTGATATGGCATGTTGAACATTGTTGACATCATGTAGGCACGAGAAAGCTTTCAATCTTTCCCTGCATCGACGAGCTCAGAGCCCAGGCGCCGAGGTTTCAGAGAGCTTGGGTCTAGTGTTTTTGGGCTTTTTGGCTTTCAGGGTTTAGGGTGTAATTAGCTTGTAGGATCATGTACGGTTATGGAGTATAGCATTCAATCAGAAGCGCTCGCACAGCGGTGCGCGACGGCAGGCAACACCGAGACGCACACTCGATGTGGTACTCTGTGTGGCCATCCAGGACATACCTTCAAATCAACGACATGCATCACATTATCACCGATTCTCATTCACCCCATCGCTATCTTTTAGGTGATGGCCGGGATATCCTGCTGCAGCATCATCTTGGCTGACTATTCGAGTGACGGCCAGATGTAAGTTGGCTGCTGCGAGATGTATCTTGTTGGGGCATTCACCCTACCACTCCCTAAGTCTAAGTCTGCCCATACTTCTAAATTTCAAACACAGGGCCTGTGCCCAACGCGGTCGGTGGCACGGACTGCTGCATAGCGGCCTTGCCGGCCTTGTCCCACAACCTGCACACGGGGATGCTGCGTGGTGCTGGAACATAAGGGGCTGCACTGCGCTCTGTTGTCTGTAGGAAACGTGTTGGGCTCCACGGAGGCCTTGCTTGGACCAACAATCGCAAAAGAAACATTGCTGCCACTGCTGACGGTCAGTGCCTGGCCCTCACGCAGGAGATCCGAGACCTCCACATCTGATGCGCACATGGGTACAGCTACAGGTAGCCAGTCGAGTATCTCACCCTACTTTCTGGATGAAACTCTAACATGCAGCTGCCGGCAATCAGCAAAACATGCCTGGTGTTCTGCAGGCTGCTGGTACTTATGCGCTGCAAAAGCGGCACGGACAGGTGGCATAACCCGCAGAGGTCCGGAGGAAAATTTCAACTATCTTAACTGCAGGGTGCCAGATGCAGGGGTTCACTGTACGAGACCAAGATCTTCGCTTTTCCCCACGGGGCTCTGTCTGAAACTTCTTGCCTCACTGCCGAACAGCTCGACATAGCTTGCAGACAGGTGGACCTGAAGCGGTTCTCTGTAGCAGTATCAACGATTCAGCTACTCCACAAAGCATCTCGCAAAAGCACCGTCATGACGGTCAAGCGTTCAGGAATCAAGCTGCGACTCGCTGTCAGCTCAAACACCAGTTGCTCAGAGCGCTCTCAGCTACGACAGCTACGACCCCTTTACCACTGCAACCCCGTGACTTTCAATACTCAGTTGCCGCCAGGGCCACCAGGGTCTTATCTTTGACAGGATAATTACAGTTCGTCCGGACCCTTGGCGTCTCAATACTTCGACCTTTAGAAGGTTCCACCAAGCACAATGGCATAACATATCATAGTAACTGCGACTTGCAAAGTCTTACGAGCATCATCACGCACCGTCTTGCCAGGCTTGGTGGGTTCTACTAATGTGGGTATGTGAACCCAATCGGGTCATGTTGACGGTCGGGCTTAGTCCCCCATTTTCCGTTGATACTGTCAATGCTAGGCTCCGGCCTCAACACCTCGCTGGCGCCAGGTCTCCACTGTCTGCAAGACCTGCTCACGGATGCTGCTCTCATTCTGGGTCACACAGCTTGCCGTATCTACATATTGGCCATAGGAGGTTGCCAGACCCCATGTGCTGGATCAAAATTCGCGAGGACTCACCGTCTTTCGCAATCATGGCAATCCTGCTCGTGTGCGGACCACTCAAGCACCTTAACACAGACTTTTTCGGAGCATTGGACCATATTGGACCACCCAATTTTCCAGGTACGGCAACGGCTCACATACGAGTCGGCAAGCATGCTGTCAACAAAGTAAATAAGAAACACATACAACTGCGTGTATATACACATATATATATATGTATATGTCAAAGAACCACTTGTGCCTGCCAAGCAAATAGCTTCGCTTAGCGAAGGAATCGAACACATACCTTTCAAGATCCCTTTCCATGGCAGGACCTCGGCGCAGGTTCTGGGCACCAAACCTCAGCTTCTTGTCAAGAATCTGTTACGCAACTTCTGGCAGGGGCTTGTACAGCAACATGTGAGCCTGACAGTTTGTTGGACTGCGACTTTGCTGAGATATGCAGGCTTCGTGCCAACTAATATATGAAATTCAAACGCTCTTCTAATGAGATGGTTTTCTTTAGCAGTCCGCTGCTTCGTGGCAAGAACATCGTACCTTTCCTTTCCAAGCGCTTTAGATGGTTGGGTTCCAGAAACTCCGTCCGAACTTGTGCAAGTACAGAGGAGGTTCCAGAAACTCCGTCCGAACTTGTGCAGGTACAGAGCACGCAGCCTGCAGGCCAACACTAGTGACATCAGGCGAATAGATGTGGTGTTGACATCAGCTTTAAGCATGCGGCATGAGTGCTTGTCTCTAGTGCAATGCGATTATTGTTGCTTCGGGGCATGCGGTGCATCCAGGATTTTCTGAGCTCGGAGCCCTGTAAGTCTGACGATGTTGCGGCCAGCAAATTCTGTGGCCTTGCGATCAGCCGGCTTGGCTCACCGGAAGAGCAAGGACCAACTAGGATAAAGATACCTAGTACTCATACACAACATGATGAGGAGTTCGGGTGAAGATGGCAAGATTCAGACGCAGAATGACGAGGAGCTAGTACAATGATGCCAAGATTCATACCCAGAATTCCGAGGAAAAAGCAATAGCACGTATTGGTACAAGGCACTTTTTCATCTATGCCAAATCATTCTGTTTGCGCCCTCGGTTGCTGCAGTATTCAAGGAAGAGTGGAAAGACTGTAGTGACACTGTAGTGAAATGCAGTGAAGCTTTGGCATGCTCGTTGCGCACATGGTTGGCTTGGATATCCTCTGAAAGCAGGTTGTACATTCTCTCAATCGACCGTGGTTGTCAAGTATGCGGCCAAGATGCGCCAACTCATGATGCTCAAATCAGCGATGGTAGATGCGACGCAGTCCAACGCCCTTTATAAACAAAACCTGTGATAGGAAAAGACGATGTCGGGAATTGTCGGGACGTGCATGCATGAAAGCAATACTTGCCGGATGGACGGCCCGAACATTGTGTGGGTCTTGCCGCTCGCTGTCTGCCCGTAGCAGATGATGCTTGCACCTTGACTCATTGTTGGTCATCTTGAGGGAGGACAGCTCTTGGGCCAATGGGTCCGGTGACCGCCCGCAAGCAACTTGGCGCCATGCTCGTGCCGTTCAGAAACTCCATTACCTTGTGTGCAGTCACTGCTTCAGAAGTCTTGTGCTTGAAAACCCTTCTGACCATCTAAAGAGGACAGTATGTTGCTGCCTCTGCTGCAATGTAGGAGAATGCATATCACAAAGCAAGACAAATAAGGCATGCTGCATCGTGTACTCCACACCTTTTACCAGCTCATGCGCAAGTGTTGCTCTAGCTGTCCTTCAGGACCAAAACAAGCATATGGTAAGTAAACATGCTCAGTGAAATGCACCGAGAGATTGCATAAGTCCGACTAAATCGAAGAAATCACCTGATTTTCTGAGAACCGAAGATTGAAGATTGCAAAGAAGGTCTCTCACTCGCTCTCTCTTCCTTCCTTGCAGCGCTCATGGCCGCCCTCCTGTAGGAGGCGAGCCGCCCGAAGGCGAGCGTCCAACCGAGTCGGTTAGTGGCTCTCTTCTTCTTCTTCTTCTTCTTCTTCTTCTTCTTCTGCGCAAGTGAGCTCTCTCTGTCTCTCTCTCTCTCTCTCTCTGTGTCTCTGGAATCTTGAATCTTCAGCCCTTAAGTCTTCAATTTCAGAAGAATCCCAACTTACCTTTTGTTTGGTTTTTGTGTTGCAGATGGCAGTTCAACTCACTGGCGGCGTGAGCTGAAGCACAGGTCCTCAGCCCCAAATTCTGAACCCTCAACCCAGCTCCGCACAGGAGCAGAAACAGGGCCGAAAACGGTGGATCAATGGGGGTGTCTCTCTCTCTCTCTCTCGATAAAAATTGTATGTATGACAATGTGTGTGGGTGTGCTGAAAAAAGCACCCAGCTGCTACCTCAGCATCAGCTGTGATTGCTGTACGACTGCAGTCTCCAACGCTGCTTGGGGCCGTGCCAGGCGCCGTGCCGATCCTGTGAAGACGTCTGCCTGTGCAGATCGCTCACCTTGCTCGCATGGAGCTGGGGTTCCGGAACGTCGAAAGCTGCTGATGGTTGCTCATGTGGCACGGCACCAGCTCCCATTTACACAGATTTACACGGTGAGTGTCCACGGACTGGCGAGAAGAGGCTCGGCACCACAGCGCAGCATGTGATAGTGAGCTACCCATGCTGTGACCTGCAGTACCTCTTTCTGGGGATTCCAGCCGAAGACGCGATCAAACGTGTACTCGCGAAGCCTGGGTGCAGTGTTGGACAGCTTGGCCCGTGCGGCTGCACACAATCACTGGCAAGCTGGATGCCATTTGCCAAGGTGGCCACCCGCTCTGCTTGGTGAGGGCGAGCAAAGACGCTTTCTCCTAAAGTATGGAGAATGGTTCTACTGTTGACCCGGCACCATGGGAAGGGCCTCTGCCAGCTTCTACAACAGGCCCTGCAGATTCATATAGATTCATCCATATCCATGGCAGTACAGGCCTCTAGGGGTTCTGGTACGGGCCCTATGTGGCTGTAAAGGCGAAGCACTACGGAACAAGCAAGATCCATGACAAGTGACCGACGTGTGCCGGCAAGCCTTTCGCTCGAAGGCCACTCGACATCACTCGAGGAAATGATGCAACAGCTGCAAACAAAGGAATGGCTGTCAAATTACGTACTCAGAGCTGTCGGCTGCCGCCTCTTGGACCGACAAGATCGAACAGCGAGCATCTGCCATGTCCTCCTGACCATCAGTCCAAAGGTATGGTCCACAGATGTCCACAGTATAGTCCCGGTTCCGCCACATGAGCAACTCCATGGGCACACAATGGTATGCATGCAGGACTTCTACCCAAATACCGTGGGTGATGCTCTTGCGACCTCATCGTCCGCAGCTGTCTTCTGATTGACCTGGCTGGCAGGGACCGAGCTTTTGCTTGCAGGTCATGCGCTCGATAAGTAAATGGGCAGCATCTCTCATGAAACTGTTGATGAAACCGCCTACTTCAGTGAGACCTTGATGAGCTTCGGGCCCTTGACAGGTGCTTAATCATGCTTAGCACTGCTTAGCAGGCTTCGCCAGTGTTTCATGTCCGGCCTCACCAGCGGCTGTCGGGACATTCTCCTGAAGAGAAGAACCCAGCTGCATCATGCTTGCTCTGATAGCTGTGCCTTCAATAACGAAGCCTCTAAGCTCTATTACTGGTCGAACATCGCATGGGATGCTTTGGGGTGGCTTGGCAGCCCTACTGCTTAGAAGCGGGTTGCTTTGAAGCAGATGATAGCAGATGTATGCAGCACACCAGAGATGTAGCACACCTGAACGTCCTGAACCCTCGCCCCCACCTTGTTTGCATAGCCAGGGTGCCGACAAGGCTGGAAGATGCAACCTGAGAAGTCGGGAGACGCAGCCTCCACCTTACAAGATTTATCCCTTCCTAGCACGAAACTGGGTTTGGGCGGCAAGTGAAGTCGGCACTATGACAGCTCGCGGGATCTGTGGTGACTGAACTCGACAATTCCATGGCCCGCCCTTTGAAGTTTTTCGAAGATGCTTAAGGAAAGAGATCCCTTTCTGCAGCCCAAGAGTGCGGGCCGGCGACAGTGTGTGGCTTTTTGGGGTCAGAGAAGGCGGGGGGCGTGAAGGAGTCCAGGTTTGGAACATGCAAGCGGGTGGAGTAAGTCATCGCTGCGAATCGCCCGCTAGTACGCACTCCGCCCGGTCTGCATCGATAATTGAATGAGGCAAGAGATACGGATGTCACGCGAGCCAGGATTCATAGCACCAGTATCCCCAAGTAACACCCAATACGTATATATATATATATATAGATATATTTATATAGATTGATATCTATATATATACACATGTATACTGTATATACACGCACCAATCTTTACAAGGAACCCTCTGTAATTTCTCACTACTAGCAGAAAGTCAAAACCTTGTTTCACATATGGCACTTGCATGCACTTGCGCTGTCAAGCTTGCTGACAGGCGCGGGCCCTGAAGCTCTGCAGGTATAGGATCTTTGCCACCTGCAACACCGGAAAAAATCAAGATGCAGACGAAGGAAATCTCTGTTAAGCTTTGCAATTGCGTAACTACATTTAACTAATTACATCCAACACGCTGTCGTTGGACTCGTTGGACTGTACAAAAGCCAGACATCGGGGCCGCGACATTAGAGCCACTCAAGGAGAGAGCTCAAAGAATGTCAAGATTTGGTCCAAATTGGTGGCTTCTGCACAAAAAGGCCCAGGCCGTTCTTCAAACGTTGCTGCTTCCGCATGATGAGGCCTGAGCCAGTGAATATCAAAAGCTGCTGGCAAGCCACTTCGTCTTCGTTGCTACGACTGATCGCGCGGTCCTATACCACTTCAGACAATATGACTATTCGAAGAATGCACCGATCTGTCCCGTTGCGCAGATGAGTGCAGTGCTAGTGTATAACTCGCAATACATCATCAAGCCTTTCATCGACAAAAGCCTGGTTGTGAGTGGGAGCGCACACTCTAGCATAATATGAGATTGTAACAAACCATTCCCTCAGTATTTGCAGACCCCTCTCATCTTGTCCTGATGCATGCAGCGTAGCTATGCTGTGTTTAAATTGCGTGAGAGACTGACGGCCAGACAGAAATGCCCACAAGAGCAGCAGAGTGACCCCACATACCTGGCACCTACCTCAAATTGCTCTCAAAGTTCTCCAGCAAGGGCCCGATCAACTTCGACCCGGGGCTCTTCTTCGGTATCGAATGCGCGTACGCCTCAGAGCGAGGCTCAAAGCTTCTTTCGATGAGCCTGGCAAGTAGCAGGAGGCTAAAGCTGACTCACCGCACCACATCAGGAATCACCTAGAGCATCTCAAAACTACGGCCAACAGTTCCTGCCGACCTCTACCTTGTTCTGTAACGCTATGTGCTGACATGACATGTCCAGAAGAGGCAGAAAGCAGAAATGTGGGCCTTTCAAGGCTTCCCGGGTGCATCGACGCCGATACACGAAAGATGAAAGTTCAGCATTGTCCACGACATCCTGCTTTTGCACAAACTCAGCCGACAAGGCATCCCAGCTGCTTCTTCACCAGTTGCACCTGACAAGCTGGCAGGCGCAGCGCGACAGTGACATATTCGGTTAGCATCATTGTGGACACGGCAAAAGGCTCCTAGCATGCTCTGTTGAGATGCTCATGAACCAGTGAACACTGAGGCTCTCAAAATCAACAACAGCAAAGTAAACCAGGCGCCACTGTGGTGCGTGCTCATCTGTTTTAGCCGCGTGCCGGAGCGTCTCGCCGAATACTCGCTTCGCATCTCGCAATCCTACGCTTACCGTTAAATCCACCCTTCTGGCCATGCCAGGTTCCCTAAGTTTGAGTCGTACACCTACACGCCCTAATCTTCCGTCAAACTGAGTTATGAAGCGAATGACCCCTCAAGAACTTCGATACCTTTTGCTAATCCTTTCCGGAAATCTGTATGTATATTCCTTGCGCAACAGCCTGCAGACACGAATCTTGGTTATCTTCGTGAAGGCTCGTGTCCGTCCGCAATGTGTGATGCAAGGGTCTGCTAAACATCTTTGTTAGCGGCGGAGTACATGTTGCTGCAAAGTGGCATGTCTGGGTTTGCGCTACTGGTATCAGCAACGCCTTCTAACAAACCTACAGGCTTATCTGAACTAAATTCTCTGGCTCAGACAGACGCGGCAGTGCCTTGGTAGCTTAGCGTCTCGCGGCATCTCATGGCCAGCATGATTCTGCTGCAGAGGAAGCCTCCAGCGCTGAGCGCGTGACAGGTTTGTCCTCCGTTTTTTCGTCTGGCAGCTTGTGCCGAATCATCTCCTCTTCAAGACAAGTGCTGCCGAGCTGTGTGTAACAAAAACATGTCGAACCCAAAAAACAACACAAAGCTTCAAAGTTGGGTGTGCCATTTGGGGAGCACGCAAGCCCTAGCTGCCTCACCTCATCTGAAACTGAATGATAGCTAATTTCAGCATGCATGTTTTCGTGTTGCCGCCAAGTACGTTCTACGAAAGCCTGCAAATGACACTGCTACCAGCCCTTCCGGCCGAGGATCCTTCTGCGAGTGCAAAACCAGAGACAAGACCTTGCGATGCAGGAGGATGGTAGCAGTCGGTTCGAAGCGCCGAGACCCTACAAGCCCCTGTATGAATTTGCGGCGTCCTATGAGACCCAGCTCCCACATCTGGATGCTGCCGACTCAGATTCGAAAATAGCAACACCCGGGTCAAGCCCATCAAAGTGCTCCAGTTTGGAATGATAGATCGATGTTGGTCACATGCGTTGTTTTCCCAGCTTCAAGAATGCTGTTGTTTGCCACTTTCGGAAGTGTTCTCGATCTTTGCAAAGCACGCGTTGCCACCACTGACGGTGCTGTTGCTGCTGCCGGTGTTGCAGCTAGTTTCACTTTTGCTGTATATCGTTTCAACTGCGATCAGATGCTTCTCTTGAGAGGAACCGGATCACAAAAATCAGCCTGTCAAAACCTTGCCAACCCTAAATCTCCCTGAAGCCTGTTGCCAACTGTTCCCAATTCAGACACACCAGATCACACCAGGGTCCGCACCACATGCCGCAGCAGCTGCGAGCTGAAGGAGATCGCTGCCAGCTCCTGGGCTCTTCAACGGCCCTGCCCGGCTTGCCCTTCCCGAAGCTAGGCTACTTTGCAGCGAAGCTTCCATGTCTGAGGGGGCTTTGACTCCTCTCGAAGCTGGCGACCGACCTCAGCAGTCTGCCCCGACAAGTTGAAGACTTTTCTGGGAGAGTACGAGAGAATGGACTAAAGCTAAGACGCTGAGCTGTGCCAATGAGACTCATCAATCAGGTGAGGGGAGTCAAGTGAATGCACACTGGATGCAGAAGATGCCTTTTGTTGAATTCTGATAGCGAATGATTAAGGATGATTCCGGAGATTATTACAGTGGCTCTCTTGGTCAGGTGAAGAGTGCCCTTTTGTTGATTCAGACTGTGCCTATTCCCAGAATGGTTAACTTAGTATGCATGCTATATAGACTCGGTTGAAGCAAGGACGCTCGTGGCAAACAGAATCTTGACTACGGAAAGCAATCTCAATGACTCTGCTGCCATTCAAGATACCGCTGCTGGGGGTGGTAGAGGCGCGGCCTGCGCTGGGTTTGGCAATTGGTGTCAGTGAGTGGCGTGTCGCACTCACAGATGTATAACCTCGCGATATGCAATGTAAGTTAGTTAAGTGTCTGTAAGAGAGAAACAGCGAGAGAGATCGACAGTCGACGGCTGTTTCGCAGCCTGCTGGGCTGCGAGTCATCCGCTTTGGCACTGGCATCTGCGGCCGAAAGAATCCTCACCGCCAGAAGCACCATCACCAGCAAGACATGCTAGAAAGCGACTGGTGAAGCTGCATTCTATCAGTGGCCTTTAAAATTAAGTTTCGAATTCCAATGAAGCCTAAGCATGCTGGTGGCTTATAGCTCGAACATTTATGAAGGCGTGCCTGTAAACGCATGCGTTTACGCGTGTGGCCGCTGCAACCACTGGCCTTGCATTACCAGGTCGCTGCACGCTTCCCGTAAATGATCCTCTTCAAGTTCCAAGGTCCTTGGCTTGGTGCAGTGATGTGTCAAGCCCGTCGATATTTACCGGGGAACACAGGGAACTGCAGCAACATGAGTACTCGATCATTGTCATACTTGCACTCATGCATGGGCTACTTTGAGGACTTCAGAAGGCCTTATGCATGCGGGATGTGTGAAAGCATTTCAGACACCTGGCAAGACAGACTCAAAACTATCAATACCTTCTGTCGCTCTGTAAGTTCCGCCGAAACAGTTCCGAATTGCACATTTCTGATCAGCTCAAGCTCTCCGCCAGGTCCACAATGTTCAAGACTTCGCAGTCTGCTTCTTGGCTGCACATGGCAACGTTTTTCACCTGACGCGCAAGGTGTTTTTTTGAGAAGCCTTCCGACAAAAGGTTCCAACAAGCGCCAACACCAGGATTTTACAAAAAGGGATCGATGCCGCGAACGATTGTTACACAACTTGCCATTTCTGGGCTTGTGGGTGCCGACAACTTGCAAAAGGGCTGTAGCAAAAAGCTCTGAGAAACCTGCAAAAAGCTCCAAAAGCACCCAAGTTTGGAGGGTGGACCTCTGTGAGAGCAATGGCCCAAAATGCGATCAACTTTGGACAAAAAAGTGTGGTTAGCGGCAGAATACTGTCTTGCGGGAGAGAGTGAGGGGGGCAATGCGGGGGGCTGTTCATCTGTGTCCCTACATATACCAGCTCAGACCCTGACCCCGCAGATATTTCCACAGGTTTCTTCTTACGGATACCGTGGCCTGTGACCATACCTGACAGCTGTAATATTGACAGAACTGCGCAATCCTTGAAGCTTGTCTTGATTGAGAACCCCAAAGCAGAGCATGTCAGAGCCGAAGTACCAGGTCCTGCTGATCAGGAACTAGCTTCTCCCAGGAGGCCAAGGCAATGCCAATCAAAGACTCTGGATACTCCTGGGCTGGAAATGTCAAGGACTGAACTAGGAGGAGCTCGACAGGATTCGTTCGCACAAAGATGATCTAAAATATCTAATGGAGTGACGAGCACCCGGCCTGCGCAAGAAGAGATTGAGCTGGCGCTTGTCAGAGCAGTCGCAGCAGGAACAGGCAGGCAAATTAGCATCTGCTGCCAACAGCATTGACATATACTTCCAGGCAGGTTGCAAGTTGTGACAGATTCGCCTCAACACCGTCGGAGAGCTCAAGGAAGCCCTACAGCGGGCTTCACAGGACACCAGCGAGCATCCAAAAATGACTTGGAAGTGGGTTACGGTGGAGGTTCTCACATGCAATTGCTTGTCACTAATCACCCGACCACGGAGGACTGAACCGAAAACATGCTGGTAACCATCACATTGTGTCTGTGCATGCAGGTTGCCTGGCTGCTTTGCCATGCGGGCCCTACAAAACCAGACACATCACGATGGCCAGTCCCTGGCACAAGTATGGGCGTATGTCGTCCTACACAATGATCATCTGAACTGGCATGACTGTTACTCCACTCAGTGGGTTGCCCGAGCTCTTTTCATGCCTCCTCAGACACCTGCACAGCTCCGCCCTGTCGCAGCTCCTGGAGGACCACCTGAGGATAGTGCAAGTCCTGATTTAAGTGTTCACATGTCTTCACGCTCCGACATCTGCACGGAAGTCGCCTTATTAAACCTTTTCGTCTATCAAGTTACTTTGCGGAAGCATGAATGGGGAATATTTGCCAATGGGGTGAGCCGTTTTCTTAACCGCGCAGCTTGTCGAAGCATGCGCCTGTACAGTGATCAGAATCGGCTGAGTCATGTTTGATTCGGCCCGGAAGTACGAAGTAGCAATGTCACAGCATCAGCCACCTCCACGCCAAAGGGATTGCCACCAGAGCTTTCCTTGGCCATGTTGGATGCCAAACCAAATAGTGTCCCGGCCTACAAGTCTGCAACCTGCTCTCTGTCAAGGCTATGAATAATGCACAGGCACTTTGCCGATACGGCTCAGAGGCTGTCAGGCGTTTTATCTTAGCCATAATCAGATGCCTGGAATTCGACGGCTCAGCCTCCTTTAGCTCAGCTACGAGTCTCGCGGCACCCTCGTGCAGCAAACCGAGCCAACACGACACAGAGAGAGAAATGCTGCGCTCTTGTTCTGAACCTTACACATAACTTGAATCGAGACAAGATTCAAACACGTACTGAAGCAAGTCGGGTGCCACGCCGGCGTTTGCTTGTGTGATGTGCATGACGTACTGCTCCGTCATGTCCTACACCATCTGCAGTCTTTAGACAACATCTGTCATGCGAAGCTCTTGAATCTGGGTCCACTGCAACTGTAATAGCAGCATGCAGTAATAAGATCTAGAACCAAGAGACCAACCAACAACAAAGTCTGCAGGTCACTGAGGACTGGGCACGTGAAAGATTGCTTGCTTGCACTTCGCCGTTCAGATTCCGCGAATTCTCGAACAAAGCCTGGATCGGACAAAAGAAATATTCATCAATGATGCCAGGCAGATCCCCGGGCTACTTTGCACCGAGAAGGCTCAAGTCTG